GTTAAAATTGTGGGAAAACAGGACATTTCGCAGCTGTTTGTAGGAGTCAAAAGATGAGAAATCATAACTCCAACTCAAAAATTGCCACCATTTGTTACAACTGTGAGAAAACAGAACATACTGCAACAGTATGCGGAAGCCATCCTCAAAGGAACAAATCGTATACGCCACGAAACATCAAAAACAATCCTGGTTGCTTTGTTTGTGGAAAACAGGGTCACTATGCAAACACCTGTACAGCCCGACGACAAAACCTAAACGAGAAGGGATGGCAAAATTAAAAGCCCCTGCCATCCTTACCCTGGGGAAGAACAATAACATAGGAATCTTGCACATCACAATTAGATTAAATAATAAGTACATGTCAGCAATCGTGGATACAGGAGCACAAGATAGCGTTCTACAAAGAAGTCTAATCAAAGAGGAACTAACAAGAAATTATGACACGATTCTAGTCACTGCAGGGGGACACTATATAGATAAAAGTTTTGGGAGATATTGAAGTTCCGATAGAAATACCAGGGAGTCAAAAATGGAAGGGCACACTAAACGCCAAAGTGATTTCATCATTAACTCAACCAATAATCCTAGGCTTGGAGTTTTTGACAAAAAATAACGCGATCATAGATCTCCCACGGAAAAAACTGATTCTGAATGGTCAGCATGAAATACCCCTAAGACAAATGAATAACGAAAAAATCAACATGTTCGGTCTGGTCACAACAAAACAGCCGACTAAAACGAGAGAGCTTAGACTTCAAGAGATGAACAAGAGTTTAACAAGTTTGTAAAAGAGCACATTCACATAAAAGATGATCAGGTTAACGGTCTCCTGAAAGAAGAATATGGAAACATAGACGTCCTAACGAACGACGCCATTTCAGTAGTAGGAGTAACCCAAAACTACAAATAAAATCAGTTTTCAAAAAATATAAGCATATTATTCCAAAAAACAGAGAGAAAGGGACTATTGGGGAGCTATCTATATCAAAACAAGGAAACAAATCAGTCATTTTTCTATTCACAAGAAAATCAATGAAGGAGAAGCCAAGTCCAAGAAACATGTATAAATGTCTTACAGCACTGAGGAACAATATCTCAAAAAATAAATCCATCAAAAAAATAGTCATCCCAAGACAAGGATGGGGATTAGAAAAAGAATGGGCAAGATTTAAGCCGATGATATATTTTCTATTTGAAGATGCAGGGGTCCAAATTCACATTTATAGGGAAAAATCTGGGTAGGTATAAAGTTAAAGAAGAAAAGCAGGAAGAAGAAATCCGGCATCTGATGCAAATCGGTACAGAAACTAAGAAAAACACATATAAATTGGGTACAAAAAAAGATTACACGGTATCTCAGAATGAGTTAAAAACATTGGTATTAGATATTATGGGCAAACCTAGTGAGATTTAAGATAATACTATGTATACATGCAAATATAATTTAGACTGGTTAGCAAAAAATCATCATGAACTAAAAACGCACATTCACACCAATGAAGGTAGCCTCATTTTAAAAGTACAATCAAACACAAGGAACCCAGTAGTTATACGCCGGAACCACAATTGCATTTTTGGCAGAAACAGCATCAGAGACAAATCTTTCACACAATTTCATGTTGCAAGCAGAAAAAGATGAAGAGAGCGAAGAAATAACAATGAAAGATCATAAGTTAAACAGCATCACAAACGAGAAGAACAGGCATAAACTCAAAGAACTCCTTCTCGAATACAGCGACGTTTTCGCGAAATCTACAAAACATATGCGAAAGACAAGCTTAACAGAATACATAATAGACGTCGGAGAGGCTCGCCCAATAAAGAGCCGCACATACAGAGTGTCACAAAAAGAAAGACAGATTATGACGAACAAATTCAGGAAATGCTCGATAGCAAAGTAATTCGGCTTTGCCACTCTCCTTGGGCTAGCCCTGTAATGCTAGTTAAGAAAAAATATGGATAAACAAGATTTTGTGTAGATTACAGAATGGTTAACACAGTAACAAGAAAATCAACATATCCACTACCGCAGATGAATGACATTTTGTCATACTTGGGTAATGCAAAATGGTTCAGCACACTCGATATGTTTTCCGGATATTGGCAGGTTCCAGTCGAAGAGAAGTCCAAGCAATACACTGCCTTCGTGGCGTAAGGACATGGGACTTACGAATTAAATGTTTTAAGTTTTGGATTATGCAACGCTCCAGCCACTTTCCAAGATATGAAATGGAAGGAAGTGCTAATCTACCTAGACGACATCATTATATTCTCACAAACATTCGAAGAACATTTGAGCAAACTAAGAAAGTTTTTGAGCGATTGCGACAAGCTAACCTTACTCTAAAACTAAGCAAATGCGAATATTTGAAAAAAGAAATCAAAATACTAGGATTCAAAGTAAAGGAGCGAGGCATATCACCAGATGAAGAAAAAATTATTTGCATAAAAGGGTTCTCGACGCCAAAGAAAATTGAAGATGTACAGAGCTTTCTAGGATTATGTAATTTTTATAGAAAATTTATACATAACTTCGCATCAATAGCAAGACTGCTACATGAAGTTACAAGAAAGAACATAGGGTTCAAATGGGGTTCTGAACAAAACAAAGCATTTAACATCCTTAAAGAAAAACTGGTTTCCGCACCTGTGCTACAGCATTTCAATCCAAATAAAGATACCATTTTGCACATCGATGCAGCAACATGTGGAATTGGGGCAGTACTTTTACAAGAAGACGACAAGGAAGAAGCACATCCAATAGCCTACATAAGCAGAAGTCTTTCAAATAGCGAAAAAAAACTATTCAATTAGTGAATTAGAACTCTTAGGCGTAGTGTGGGCATTGAACTATCTGAGACACTTAATTTATCGTCACTGACCACCATGCTCTTTGCTGGATGGACTCTATTAAGGACAGCAACAGACGCTTGGCCAGGTGGGCACTAAAACTTGCAGTATTCGATTACACAGTTGTATATAAAAAAAGGCTCAAAAAAGGCTCAACACATAGCGACGCCGACTGTATGTCCCGCAATTCAGTGCTTCAACCAGAATCCCAGGAAAAAGAAGAACAAGAGGAGATCCCCACATTCACACTAAAATCAGTGCAAACGACTACATTACAGGAGAAAGACCCAAGTCTAAAACAAATATTCAAAGCTATAAGAAAACCAGATGACCCAGAAATTAATATTGGCATCAGAAGAAGAGCAAAAAATTTAAGGATTGAAAAAGACTTACTCTGTAAAATAAATAAGACAAAAAACGGCTTAGAAAAAGTATTAGTAGTACCAAAATCAATGAGAGAAGAAATTATGTGGGAGCTACATGCATCACCGACAAGTGGACACTTGGGACTGAGTAAAACAGCGAACAAAATTAAAAACAGATTTTTTTTGGGACGGAATGCTAAAGGATATCGAAAAGTACGTTAAGGGATGCCTAGATTGCCAAGCTAGAAAAGGGGCAACCTTACAGAAAAACGCTAGGGATGTTACAACCAATACCGGTGGGAACAATTTTCGACAAAATCGGAATTGATCTTTTAGGCCCCTTTAGAAGAAGGGAAAACAATGATAACTGTAGTTACCGATTACGCCTCACGGCATATCGTGATATCAAAGCCGCCCTACCGAATGGAAAAGCCGGACCAGTTGCAAATTTTTTACTGGAAAAAGTATTCTTGATACACGGGATGCAAAGAAATCTGCTCAGCGACAGAGGAAAAGTTTTCCAATCGGAATTAGTAAGGAAATTAGGAAATTAATGGGAGTAAGAAGCCAGTTTACAACAGCATACTATCCTGGCTGTAATGGTCCCACTGAAAGGCTAAATAAGACAATAGCTAACATGTTATCCATGTATTGTAACACAAAGCAAACGGATCTACCATTTATAACATTTGCGTATAATTTAATACAACAATACAGGACACAACGAGATTTAGCCCATTTATGTTGAAATATGCAAGGGAACCCACACTACCCGCAGAAGCTGCATTGTTGAACGCTGACAACGAAACGGACGCTCTGCAAATTAGAGAAAAGGCTCTCTTACTCTTAAGAGCCATAGCAGTAGAAAAAATACGAAAAAGACAAGGAAAAGATAGGGGACGTTTTGACGAACGACATAGAGAATTAGATTTCGTAGCTGGAGATAAACTTAAGGTGCTCATACCAATTAGAAAGGTTGGAAGAAGCGAAAAATTACTCTTAAGATGCTTTGGACCCTACAAAGTAATTAGAAAAATGGGAGAAGTGAATTACGAGGTACAAAAGGTTGGAAGCAGAAAAAAGGATACGGTCCACGTGAGTAGGATGTTACCCTACTACGATCCACGATCCATGGAAAGAAGCTGCGCCTATTGAAGAAAGGGCAGATGAGACAGATATAGCTGAAAACGCAGAATCTAAAGTTGATGAGGATGAAGACGACGAAGAAAAATTTGAAGAAATAGCCCAGAATAATCCAATAATAAAGCTATGAAAGAAGAATTTTAAGTGTAATTTCGAGACTCGAGACTATTCGAGACTACTCGAGACTCTCGCCGAGTCTGGGTCTCGTCTTGTCGAGACTTCACGAGACGAGACCAAAAGCCATTCTCGTCTCGAAAAGTCGAGACGCAACCAGTCTCGAGTCTCGCGGCATCACTAGTGTTTTCGCGAATGAAGCCGTATTTTTCTAGATTCTTGTTGGATTCTCGATCGACTGGCGGACGCGTCCTAACAGTATTTACCCTCTCGAGACAAAATGAACTCGCTTAAACACCACACTACGTTATCGAGGAAAAAAAGTGGATCAAAAATAAGCGAAATGTCTTTTGTTTCTAATTGACAGTTACAATGCTCAAAACGCCACACGACTATAAAGTCACCCATCATCTGGTACGGGTTAGAAGAAACAGTTGCACTTATGGAGGGAACCAACTTCTCTTTCTGGTTAACCTCATTCCTGCTTGCAATTATTACGTTTTCATTGAGGTACCATCCCCAACATTATGTTTTATTTTGGCCAGAAGCAGGCTAGCCATATATTTAAACTCAATTTAATTTATTGAGCTAGAAATTATAAGATTATTACAATATACTAAAAAGAAAAAACAATAATTCAAAGATAATTGTTGCAAATGTCCTCATGACACTCAGAACACTGTTGAACTTCTCCATCGTCTACAACTAAAGTCGAGCAGTTCCTCGTCTCGCAACCTCGGACTGTTTTCAGCCTACTGGTGGATTCTGAAACAAAACCAAACTAGAAGACATATTTAGCTAACAAAATTCTAGATTACCTTCCAGGTATCTGTAACTTATACATTCTTTCTTATTTTTGTGACTGATTCCACAAAAACTCATTTTGGTTAAATCAACTTTAGGAGCGGCACAGTCTGAACCTTCTTCACCTATACATTCTATGCATAAAGTTAATTGTTTGCTTGTGTCGATATTCATGTTGCAGTGATCATTATTATTGCATTGCATACAAAGGGCTGTACTTCCATTATCAGTACTGTTGTGTTGCTCACAGTAGTCTTTAAACTCACATCCTCTGTATGTGTTAATTTTACCAGTTGAAACTAAAAAAAAAATGTATTAAATTTCACAATAAATATTAGGTATTGAGTTACCATTAAGATATTTATGAGATACACATTGCTGATTATCTTTGCTATTTATTATACATGCATTAACTTCAGCTAAACTAACTGTGTTATGAGCGCATTCTGATTCTTGTTCGCTATTGCATTGTACACAAATGAATTTTCCTTCATTTTTAGTATTTACATTACATATTTCATCATGACATTCATCACACACCAGTGTATTTTTCCCATTTTTGTATTTATTACAATAATTTGTATTCTCACAGCCTCTTTTAATTCTGATATTATTAGTTTGGTCTATAAGATAAAATTATTAATAATATACAATTATCTAATTTACAGAAACTTTACCATCAAGATACTTGTGAGTAACACATTGCTGGTTATCTGTAAGTTTACAGAAATGCACTTTAGTTAAGTCATTAATTGTATCATTAGCACAATCTGTTCCCTCTCCTCCGATACAGTCTATGCACAAAGTTTGCTCATTACTGGTATCAATTTCCTTGTTACACAGAGTATCAGCGCTTTTGCATATACTACAAATCATGGCCATTTGACTGTCGGTTGATTGATTATCACAGTAATTATCCAGTTCGCAACCTCTGTGAGTTCTGATCTTGCCAGATGTAACTACAACAAAAATATGCGGAGTTAATGGAAGATAATGCTTCAATTCAGAAACATTCTATGTATGAACGAGTCGCTTATTTTACTTATAGGTCATATGATATTTTGGAACAAAACATTGGAAATGCTAGCACCAAATGGAAGTTTATGGATGGATCTTTTAAAATTTAAAAGTCGACAATAAAAACCCAACTTGTAGCACTTCGTGTCAATCACCGTGACATGAGATTTTTAGAATTTCCAAATGGAAAAAGGAAGACCTACTTATTGTGGCGCTTTATCAGGATCATCAGTCCAGAAGGCGATTTTTTTCGAAATAAGTAGGTATTGATTACCATGTGATCCCTATGATCCTAACCTTGCACTACGAGTGTGGTAAGTAGAAATTAAATAAATATTTTCTAGATTATTATATTCTTATGCTTTCCTACCATCAAGATATCTGTAAGCAACACACTGACGTTTATTCGAGCTGTTTATTTTACAAAAATCAACTTGGTTGAAGTCAGTGATCATGTCAGCAGCACATTCTGATCCTTGGTCGCCACTACATTCTACACAAAGAGCATCTTCATTCTCGATAATCCTATTGCAAAGATTGCCAGTTGTACATTCGTTGCATAATAATGTAGTTTCACTATTGTTGTACTGAGCACAGTAATTTTCAGATTCACAGCCTCTGTACGTATTTATGTTTCCTGATTTAACTAAAAACGATTGAAATAGGTAGTAGAAACATATTCAAATAAAATATATTTAATGCTAACCATCAAGGTATCTATAAGTCACACATTGAGTGTCTGAGCTAGCTAATCCACAAAAGCCAATTTGTTTCAGGTCTACTGAATTAGAAGCACACGCTTCACCATCACAAGATACACATAGAGTTATCTCTTGGTCTGTTTCGATTTTCATATTGCAATTATTGTCATTGTCACATTCAGAGCATATTATTTTAGTACTATCGTTTTGTTGACTACAATAATTTTCAACTTCACAGCCTCTGTAAGTATTGACATTGCCAGATGTAACTGAAAATAATCTCATACTTACATAGTTCACTGTATAGAGTTGTAATGCAAATTAAACTTACCATTCAGGTATCTATAAGCTATACATTTATCATTTGGGCTGTCTATTTTACAAAATTCAGCTTGAGTTAAATCACTTGTATCTTTGCTGCATTCTGATCCATCTTCACTATTGCATTGCACACATAAAGTTACATCAGTTGGATCAATTGCCATATTACAATTATTATCATTTTTGCATTCATCACATAATATTGTAGTGCTAGTGTTGTATTGAGCACAATAGTCTTTGGTTTCACAGCCTCTGTGAGTACTGAGTGTATTAGTTGTAACTAAAATATTTAAGATTGCACTACAATAACGGCATTGATTAAACCACCTTACCATTCAAGTACTTGTAAGCCACACATTGTAGTTCTTCTTCGGTAGCTATTCCACAAAAGTCAACTTTAGATAAATCTACACTATCCTTAGAACATTCCGAATCATCAGCTTCGCTATCGCATTTCACGCATAGAGTTCTCTGATTATTTTTGTCAATGTTCTGGTTACAATATTGGTCGATTTCTTTGCATTTGGTGCACGTTATTGTAGTACTACTGGCGTTTTGATTACAATAGTCTTCGGATTCACAGCCTCTGTGAGTATTGATCTTACCCGATGTAACTAGAACAATTAGGTAACAACGTTATCATTCAAAAAATTATGGTAAATGTAGTTAATCTCAAAGGATTGATGAGTTTTCGTGTTTAAAGAAACATGGTAAATTTTCTTTTACACTCTATAATGCATCTCGAATTCTCACGCTTTCCTTCATTTTTCTACCACATTCAAATATATGTGTTGCCTTTCCCTCTTCAAGAGCTGATGAATTTTATCAAAATTAAGGCCGATTATGAAGTTGGTATCGCGTTAGCTAAATGTAAATAGGGAAGGACAAAATGTTATGTTTTGTAAAAAGATACATAATCCTTTAAAGGTTTATGTAGGACTACTAGAAGGAAAAGCTAATTAGACTACATGGAAGTACTGCTAAGAGGTATTTCAAATGCAAAATTTTGGAAGGAAACTTGGTGTCTCCAGTTTTGAAAGAAGCTACGTCAGCAGCTGAAATGGCTGCGCATTAGGAAAGCCTGGTGAATTCTTATACAGCAGACTGTAATGCACTTCTTGCTCTTACAATAAATATGACATAAGATACGTTACAAAAAGTTCATGGTAAAACGCACAGACAGAAGTTTGGGACAAGAGACAGAGCAAAGGTACCTGAGACCTGTTAGGTAGAGACAGTTGGTGGAGAAAGTATTAATCACCTGTTGTTTACGCAATAGTATTTGAAATTTAGTAAACTGGACTGTGACTGGAAAATCGCGCAAACAAATAGAAAAAGAAATGAAAATGATACCATAGGGTTGTCGAAACACACAAAAGTTATTACTTACCACTCACCTGGGTTTTCTTATAAGCTGTGCGTATATACGGGGATCCCCTGGAAAACGGTTCTCCACAACCACCAACGTATCATCATCGACTTAAGGCACTCAAGGTCCCTTTTTAACGGCACAAGACATAGACTTTTTGAGCGTAAAATACGGAACCGGTAAAAAATGCAACGTGCATATCAAGTATCATTGATCTAGTGTGTGTAAATCCAAATCTTCAACAGCTGCCTCGGTCAGCGCAGGATCGTAGAAAATACACTCCTGTGTGTTTTACGCGAAATTGACATTTAAGTAATTCTTTAATAAGAATTAGAAGAAACCAAATTTGTAAATAATGTTGCGTCAACACCTGTCAAAAGATGAATGTGGAACCCTATCAAAAAATGGACCAGATGGCGAAAAAGAAGATAGGTTGGAAAGTCTTAAGTCACAGTTTTTCTGACATCTGAGTAGAATCACCAAATAATGACATATCAGAAGTCCCAGATGTAACGAGTAGACAACTGAGAGAGAAAAATCAAATACATACAAGATTTCGCTATAATAGTTGCTGCAGATATTATGGACATAAATGAGCCCAACTACGTACCGAGAAGCTGTGTCAAGTAACAGAGCAAATGACTGGAAAATGGCTATGGGATAAGAAATTAAGTCTTCAGAAAAGAACTATGTTTGGATTTTAGGAAAGCTACCCAATGTAAAGAAGGATATAACTAACAAATAAATGGGTGTACAAGTTACCCCTGAACTACACTCTGAAACAACTCAAAGAAGTCGAAATTTCCACTACATAATAGTTAACTTACCATTAAGATATCTATATGCAACACATTTCAGATCAGAGCTGGTCAATCCACAAAATCTAACTTGACTTAAATCAGAAATTTCGTCGTTACCGCATTCTGTTCCCTCTTCACCGTCGCATTCTACACAAAAAGCCCTTTCAGTTGTCGCATTGATTTTGCTATTGCAAATTTCGCCTTGGCATTCATTGCATAACGCTGTATAATTTGTGTTGTGTAGATCACAATAGCCTTGAGATTCACAACCACGTTCGGTGATCATCTTACCAGTTGAACCTGAAATAATTTCTTTAGCAGTAACTTTTTTTATGTCATACCAATACATTATTGTGTTTTTATACCTTAGATACCATCTATATAATTCATTACTTTATGCCCGTGCGGGCATAAAGTACACATTATGGCCCGCGGGGGCATAAAGACGCAAAAAAAAGTTTTCAATTAACTTATTCTTTATTAACAAAATATAAATTTACGCTTATAAACATATTATTTTTGTCAAAAAATGATGATTTTAAACACTGATGACAATTTGCAAAGTGAAACTTTTTTCCCAGGTATTTATTATTCACAACCAACTGGTATGACATAAAAATTTGTATGCACCACGGGTACTAATAGATATATATACCCTCGGGCGACTTACGAACCCTCGGGCCAGAGGCCCTCGGCTTTGTAAGACTGTCGCCCTCAGGGCATAATCATCTACTTGGTACCCTTGATACATAAATAACTATTGAGCCCATTCACTTACTGTTAAGGTACTTATAAGCAAAACAACCCTTTTCGTCTGTGTTACTTATTTTACATAAGCCAACTTGAGTGAAAGCTACTTTTTCAGCAGCACAGCTTGTGCCTTCTTCGTCAGTACATTCAACACACAAAGTTGCTTCATTGCTTGTATCAATCTTTTTATTGGAAATAAGGCTTTTTCCTTCATTGCATACTGTTGTATTGGAATAGGCGTTCAAAACAGTGCAATGATTTTCAGGGGCGCAGCCTCTGTTAGTTTGAATTTTACCATTAAGAACTGGAAACCGATGAAAATTATAATTATGGAGTGCAAAGACCAAAGAAAAAGCGAAGATACTCACGATTCAAGTATTTATAAGCCACACATTCACTATTATCGTCATCCAATGGGCAATATTCTTTAACTTTGTTCGAATTCATGTCGTCTTTTCCACATTCCTCGTCATTTTCACTCGTGCATTTGATGCATAAGGTTTTTTCCTTGTCAAAAGCAGGTTCAAGATTGCACATATTATTAACGCTAACACTATCAGTACTAGTACAAGAAGTGCACGTTGTAGTGTTAGACCAAGCGTGATCACAGTAATTTTCGGAACCGCAGCCTCTGTAAATGTAAGTTTGGCCATCTAGAAATTAAAAGGCAACATTTTTATATGATTGGTACTATGATTTTGGTTACCTTGATAATATTTATAGGAAACACATTGCACATTTACAGTGTCATCTAAATAGCACCTGCCAAGAACTATTGTCGTATCAATTCTGCCCTCGATACAGTTGGGGTCATCAATACTATTGCACACAATGCAACGTTTAGAATGCTCAATTTTCTTATTGCAATTATTTCCAGTACAGTGATTGCACATGATCAATGAGCCATTATGTAAAGTCTCGCAATAATCTTTTGGAGCGCAATCTCTGATTGTAACTTGTGTATGATCATCTTAAAAATTTCTACAGCTATTTGATTATTTTGTAACCCCAAAAACATCTTACCGTTTTGGTATTTATATGAAACGCATTCAGTATTAACAGTTTCATCTAACAAACAAGTTGTAGTGACTTCAGCTATAGAGTCACCACAGTTTGAGTCTGTAGAGCTGTTACATTTGACACAAGTTCCAGAAGTGTGAATATTTGCGTTACAATTAGCTGATGAACAAGGAAAACAATAGGAAAGTTCGTTTTTGGAACTCAAAGTGGCACAGCTATTAGTGGGAACACATCCTCTGACAACAACCGAAGTTTCCTTATCTGAAAAATTCAAATAATGGAATCGGAGTAACTGGAAGTTATCTTGTTACCTTTGTACATTACGCATTCGCTGTTAACAGTTTGGTCCAAATAGCAAGTGGCATTAGTGATACTTGGATTAATGTGGAAATTTGCACAATCTGGATTATTCTCGCTGTTACATTCAATGCAAGTTTTTGTAACGTCAATTTTTTTATTACAGTTATTTTTACCGTCAATGTTTGTACACGCGTCACACATAAGTAATGATGAATTTTCTGAAGACAAAAGATTAGAGCATTGGTTGTCAGGAGCGCAACCTTTGACTGTAACTGTCTGATTGTTTTCTGTGAAAAGAATAAATAATATAATAATTGAACAAATAAAGCCCATAAAACAAACCGTTATTGATTTTATAGGTAATACATTTAGTTTTTACAGTTTGATCCAAATAACATGTGGTCGTTAGACTTGTGCTTTCCTGACAATCTGGATCGTCTTTGCTGTTACATTCAATACAAGTTTTTGTAGTGTCAAATTCTTGGTTACAATTGCTATTGTCACTACACTCGTCGCACATAAGCAAAGCATCCTTGTATGTGTCAGAATGTAAAACCTCACAATTCTTTGCTGGAGCGCAACCTCGAACAGAAACTATAGACGAATCTTCTGCAAAATGACATATTGTTAGATTTTACATAAAAACATTTCAAGTAAATATTTACTTTCTTGATACTGATATGTGATACATTCAAAGTTAATAATACTGTCCAAATAGCAAACTCCTGTTGTTGGTGTAATATCAATTTTTGATTCACTGCAATTTGCATTTTGTGAACTGTTACATTCCACACAAGTAGGTAAATCGTCAAGGTTTTGATTACAATTTGGCGTATCTAATGAACATTCATGGCACATGACAAGTGCCTCTTTGTATGTGTCGCTAAGAAAATCTTTACAAGTGTCCTTTGAAGCGCAGTCTCTGACTGTAACTATCTTGCTGGCATCTAGAAGATATAATTTAGGTAAAATCTATATCGATAAAATCTGACTTACTCTTATATTTGTATGTAATACATTCGGTATTAACTGTATCGTCCAAGTAACAAGTGTCTTTTATGATACTTGTGTCGATGGTGGCACTTTCACAACCTGGTTGCTCTAAGCTGTTACATTTGACACAAGTTTTGGAAACGGAGATATTTTGGTTGCAATTGTTACCGTTGGTGTTTGAACATTCGTCACACATGTATAAATTGTCTTTGTATTCACCAGAACGGAGGCTGTCGCATGTGTTAGTGCGTCCACAATCTCTGACTGTTACCATAGAAGAATCTAAAATAAATTTTTTGTATAAGGGAGAAATTATGATATTTCCTAAATCAAAAAGAGTTTACAAAAATGCCAAATGTTAGTTGTTAGATGTTGATCAATAAGACAACCCCGAATTCTGCACCCCTGTCCGATAGCTAGAATATACCTAATTGATGGAGATAAACCTTACTAAAAACAGTAGAAACCAACAGACAACGAACCCCCGGCTTGGGAGGCTACAGGGGAGCGTCGGCAGGTGGCGGATGGCCGGACGGCCTATGTTTTATAGGTTATCACCGAATATCCAATAAGGTGACGCTGACCAACCCTCCAATCCAAGGTGTAACGCAATCCGTGCCGAGGGATGCATGACGGTGGGAGAGCTCCGCCTCAAACGGAGCCTTGAAGATACCAGGCGACCTCTTTAAGTAACCAGCCTTACCACGTCGTGCGGGGCTCCGACGTGGCTGACCTTTATTTCCCTAGCTATTCGTGGGAACAAACATGGATAAGCAAAACATAAAAAACAAAGAAAAGCGGGACGACACCGCTAAACCAACTGCTGACCGAATAGAGCATGACATCCAAGATAGTCAGCAGGCGGGACCCTCACACCCTTCGAGATCACCTCAGAGACAAGAGGGCCCTGCAAAAGATGAGAAGGGGAAGAAACCCCAAAGAAGAAAGGCTGATCCTAGGAAAAAGCCATACTACCCACCTCTTGGTCAACCGGGAGGGCTTGATGACCCACTGAGAAAAGGCCTCAGTGGAGCTGAAGTGCGATGGTGCCTCAGGTTTCTTCAACAGGGCATGACACCAGAAGAAGCCAGAGAAAATGCACTGACCAGGAAAGTGCAGACACCAGACAAGTCACAAAAAAGGAGGCCCAAAAACATAACCCCTCCGCACAAAGCGGACGTGAAAAGGAAGAGGACGGAACCTGTCATGCTGACAGAGCCACTGGGCCAAGCACCAGCTACGCGGAGTCAGCAAAACCATAAAGGTGGCAGCACTCCCCGCGGCATTCCCTAAGGAAACCCTCAGTGCAGTAGAACTTTCTGCCCTAGAGGACGCCATTGTGGAGGAAATGATAAAAGGGGCGGAACATAAACTCCAATTTGGAGGCATACATTTCCGACCAAGCATGCTGGTGATTGATTGCCACACCAAGGAAACAGTTGAGTGGCTGATAGAGCACGTCCCCAGGTTGGAAACCTGGCAGGGAGGAGAGCTGATGGTGAGCCTGGGAGACGACATCCCAAAGGCGCACACCATCACAGTCTTCTTCCCAAGAAGCAAAGGGCAAGACCCCCTTAAAATCCTAAGCCTGGTAAACACCCAAAACGATGGGCTTAGCACTCAGCTGTAGAAAGTAATGGGCTGCAAAGACGAGGGTAACGGCCAGCTACTCAACATCGGCATAGACGATGGGTCCTGCGAAACCATTAGGAAAATGGGGTACAACCTCTTCTATAGGTTCGGGAAAATCCCCGTACATGGCCTAAAGAAGAGAAAGGGTAAAGAAGAAACAAATGAGGAACCGAAGGAGCCCACCTCCTCGGAATCCAAACCGGAGTCTCCTTCAGAACAAGACGAAGGGAAAGAGGACGAAGGCCTTGAGGAGGGGCAGAAAACTCTCACTCCGGCAGAGGAAGTTCCCAGTGAGGAAGAAAAAATGCTTCTGGGCGATTAGGAGGTCATCACTCCACCACACCAGAAACAACAATACAGGGCCCCCGCTACCATAAGCGCAAATGCGTGCGGCGCACGCGGGCGGCATAGCCAAGGGGCGGCAAATCGCACGAGAAAAGAAAATATAAAAAAAAAATTAATTTACAATTTATTCAATATTTAGTAATTAATTTTTTTTCCTAAAGTGTTTCAATTATTTTCCTTTTTATTCAAAGGGCAGGCACCTGATGATGCTCGATCCTTATTCTTGAAACAGGGTAGCAGCGTTTCCAGGAGAACAAGTGTTCTGTTTTTTTCAATGATATTTAAATGATAAGTAACAAAGACGGAACACCTCCTGGAAATGCTGCTCCACTGTTTCAAGAATAAGGACCCTGGACCTTGCGCTCGTCTAAGGACGGGAATAGGTGCCCTGTCCTACTCAGTTCCATGTAAAATCTTATATAAGTCAGACAGAGACTGAGAATTATTAGAGCCCTGTCCTGCGCCCTCGTGCGAGCGAGAGTCAGGCTGCAGGTCGCCTTTTAGCTCCGTACAATGTGCCAATTTTTCTGTCAAATTTTCCAGTTGGTTCTTGCAAAATTACTCTGGACCATTATTATTTAAGCAGTTATTAAAAAACATGACAACCCACGCGATTGACTCGCTGTCACTCCAAAAAATCTTCCGCTTTTTCAATCGCCCACACTAAGGGCAGGGGCATCGCGTTGGGGGAAGGGGGGGTATAGGGGGTAATTACCCTTCCTCCCAGAATCGAATAGTCAAGAGAAAAATCACAAAGGAAATAATTGTTCTGGAAAAGCGAATGACCTTGATATTTGCAAAAAAATAGCGCCTGCGGCGCGTTTCCTCCCCCACCCCATGACTGCTTGTCACGCTACGCCGCTGCCTAAGGGGCGCCAAAATATGAAATCGCACGCGGGCTGCTTCATGTCTGGCGGGGGCCCTGCAACAATAACAGGTAAGATCGCGAATTACACCACAATAGCCCAGGTGAACGCGCATCACGCTAAGGGAGCATCTGCTGCCATAACGCGGTTGTTCACGTCGGCACAATTGGGAGCCGTACTAATCCAAGAACCTTGGATACACAAGGGGCAGATCAAAGGCCTGTCAAGTAAAGGGGCAAAAATAATCTGGGACAGTCGGTGTAACGACCCTAGAGCATACATTCTCCTGAATGAAAATATTAATCATTTATGTCTTTCAGAATTTACGTTGCGGGACTTGGTTACGGTTCGGGTTGAACTTACCACCGACCCACCACACCGCGACCGAGTACTGGCATCAGGCTACTTCGCTGGAGATGGGCAAGCACCACCAGAAGAAGTACAGAGACTAGTCGAGTACTGCAACAGGAACAAACTACCGCTCCTAATTGGCTGTGACGCCAACGCCCACAACACTATCTGGGGAAGTACCGACACAAACCTAAGAGGTGAGCAACTGTTAGAATTTATCTTTCAAACAAACCTGAATATACTAAATGTAGGGAATACACCAACATTTGTTACTAGGGTCAGACAGGAGGTTTTAGACATAACACTTTGTAGTCCAAATATTGACCAAATGATCAGGAATTGGAGAGTCTCGAATGAACCCTCTCTCTCTGATCATAGAATCATAATATTTGAAGTAAAAGGAGTGCAGGAACGAAATAAAAATCGTATAGAAACCCCAGGAACACAAACTGGGAAAAATACACAAGCAAACTGCAACGCAACCTCAAACAAAATAAGGTTAGCTGCAGGAACATACGTGAAGTAGAAGAAACCCTTCAAATCCTTAACGGAGCAATCATATAGAGGCATACGAATCCAGTTGTCCTGTGAAGGAACAAGTAAACAAAAAAGGTTGCCCATGGTGGAATAGTCACCTGTCACGACTTAGATCCGAGGTTCGCTGTCTCTTTAACAGAGCCAAACGGGACGGAGAATGGCAGGGCTACACCGAGAGGCTGACTGAGTACAACAGAGAATTAGGGAAGGCCAAACGGAAAAACTTCCAGAACTTCTGTGAATCTATCACCATCAGCAGCCAGATTATACAAAACCCTGGCAAAAGGCAGGGCGCAAGGACCATTGACACTTAAGAAACCAGACGGCAGTTATACAGAAAATGAAGAGCAACGAGCTGCTCTACTACTGGAAACTCATGTTCCAGGAACCATACCCAATGGCACTGAAGAAAACAAATAACGGCACAGCAAAACCAGGCAAGGAAACTGGGAGGTTGCCAAGAATCTTTGCACTCCGCAGCGGCTGGCTTGGGCGATCGACTCATTTCAATCGTTCAAATCACCTGGAGTAGACGGCATTTTTCTAGCCCTGTTGCAAAAAGGGCAAAATGAAATTATGCCGTATCTAATCAAACTCATTAGATACAGCCTAGCGACCGGATACATACTCAATCAATAGAGAAGAGCTAAAGTAACTTTCATTTCAAAGGCCGGGAGAAAGGATGCCACTCTACCGAAGTCGTTCAGACCTATATGTCTCACGTCGTTCTTACTGAAGACAGTAGAGAAAGTTGTAAATAACTATATCAGAACAAATGTTCTAGAAAAGACGCCACTACATCCTAGGCAACATGCTTACAGAGCGGGCAGATCAACAGAAACCGCTCTATTTGAACTCACTGACAGCATCCAAAACACACTGCTGAATAAAGAAGTAGCCATCTGCGCCTTCTTAGACATAGAGGGGGCTTTCGACAACACCTCTCATGAGTCAATAAAGAATGCGCTTGTAAGAAAAGGAGTGGACAAAACCACATCCACCTGGATGTGTGGAACGTTAGCCACCAGAACTGCAGAAACGGATGTGGGGGAACAAACCATACAAGTCACCACAACGAGAGGATGTCCACAGGGAGGGGTACTCTCACCCTTGATGTGGAGTCTAGTAGTCGATGATCTACTAAATACACTGACAGGCCAAGGCTTCAACTGCCTTGGTTACGCCGATGATATTGTCATCATAGCCAGAGGCAAACACGAAGGAATACTCTGTGACCTTATAGAAAAAGCACTCCGAACCACGAAGAAATGGTGTCAGACTGTGGGACTGAATCTTACATCAAAAACCACACTGGTAACATTTACAAAAAGAACGAAACTCCCATACCTGAGGAACATTCGCGTCGATGAAAGCAGGCTTCACTGGAAACAAGAAGTTAAATTCCTAGGAATAACCCTAGACTCTAAACTTCTTTGGAACCGACACATAGAGAACATAACAAACAAAGCAATTTCGGCACTCATGGTATGTAAAAACATTGCGGGCAAAACGTGGGTTTGTAACCCATCGATCCTACGATGGATGTATACC